ACAAGTTGTTCAAAGTTCGCCCCATTCTGGATCATGTTGTTGAAAATTGTAGAGACACTATGACCAGGGAGAAATTTGTCTGTGGACGAAGCCATGGTTAAATTTAAAGGACACCTTGGCATGAAGCAGTATTTGCCAGTGAAGCCTGTAAAGCGTGGTATTAGTGTGGGTTTGTGCAGAAGCGTCAAGTGGGTATGTTTGTGATTTCCAAATGTATACTTGAAAGAAACAACATGGCATGACGGAACAAAATCTTGGATATCGTGTTGTTCACGATCTAATGCAGAACTTTGTCAGAAAAATCATCATGTTTTCTTCGACAATTTCTTTTTGATTGTCTTATGCCTTCTCGAAGCTCGAAGTTATTGCTGAAGTAATTACTGTCTCTAAATAGGAAAAGAATGCCGAATCATCTACGACAGCTGATCCTAACATCGTGCAGGATCCGTATACATCCTTCCCAGCAGAAAAGCTGCAGAGGGAAATGAAGTGGGCCACTGATCGAGAAGCAAAGAGGACAAAAGAAGAACTAAATGGTTAAGTGGTCAAAATCTGTTCTCTAAAACATCAACTGCTCACAAAAAACAAGGTGTGATGTCTTGAACAATGAGTTGGAGGCTGTCCGCAAGACCAATGCAATGACAATGGAAAACCGAAACGAAGATCTTGCAAAGGTGAGTGTAATAGTTTCTCTTTGCAGTAATACAATAAATTATGCTCCCATTTAAAATAATAAAACTCTCATTAATTATATTTAGTAGAGGTGAGAAGTGAGCTTTCAATTACCAGGTCCCTCTGTATGTCGGTAGACAAATTGAAAATCAGGTCATTTGTCGGAAACTCGATAATAGCATAGGGCTTTTAATGTTTATTTTGTCACGAACTGCCAATCTTTGAAGGCGTTAATTTTTATCTGAATGGCAAAGATCACGTTATTCCACGTGTTATTGTGAAATAGAGTACGTTTGTTATTTTTCTGTCAGCAATATCGTTTTAGCCAATCAGCTCATGTTTATTCAAGGGTGCCATAGATTAGGGTTCGCTCGATTGATGCCAGTGAGAGGTGGATTATTTTTGTAGGAGAAAAGAAAAAATCGTGATTAAAAAACCTGAAAGTGAAGACTGAGGACGTTGTGGGCCTTCTTAACCTATTCCCCACACATTTTCACAACATCATTGAATTGCTTTTCAAGCTCTCTGGGTATACGCCTGCTCTTGGTATCTCCAGAGTATTTTACGAAAGTCCAAGACTAGTTTAAAAACGCGATGAAACTGAAATCTTGCTCCCATTGGCAAAATAAATAAAATAAATTATTAATACTTCTGTATATATCACTAACAGGTAATGGAGAAGATGGAAGATGCTATCAGAGTACTGGATGATAAAATAAGCATTAGAATGTCAAGAATAGAGCGGCATCTAGAAACTTTAGGAAGAGTGGTAAGTTTTGTAGTAAAAGTTATTTGCCATAGATGTCACAAAGGTGATTGGTCAGACTTTATTCAGCTATCAGTTTTTTTTACCAAAGATGATTTATTGAGAAGAATTCACACATATAGAAACACACAAAACTGAATTACTTTTACCCTCGGCCCGCAAAAAAAAAAAGTGCAACAGGAAAATACAACGCAAGTTAACAAGAGTTTTAAAATACTGATTTTAAAATAATATCAGATTTTTGATCAAAATGACTACATGCACATTATCGTGCTGAGGTGCTTCAGTGCCAAGGAAAAATATAATTAACTGATTTAATGTGAACCCTGTGCCAACCTTTGCGCCCTCAAACTTCTTCAAACGGTTCTTCATAAAACAAGAGCTGAATACCAGTAACACAGGCAGAACCCGTGGAAAACAGTGCTTGGATAGGAACAAACTGATCGGTTTAAAAGCCTTAGCATTTGCAAAGTTTTCCCTGGAGTCATCAGAAAGAAAAGAGAAAATTTGGCTGGCTATTAAAGGCAAGATTAATACCAAGTATTGGGTTAGCAAGTTGTTGGCTTTCCGAGCAAAATTAGCTTCATTACTACTTTTTCTCCTGCGAGGTCAATGACACCCAACATCAAAAGCCGTTCTAGGCATGACATGTACCCTATTCACACCACCACTTGAATGAAAATCATAAACAAAGACCTGAAAAACTTAATTTTCCATAGGATTCATGTACTTGCTAACTTGCATTTGCAATGTGCTACATTTAGGTAAAAAAATATTAGATTAAGTGGTTTCTACACAGAAAAAAATAAACCTTGTTAAACAAAACAACTTTGAAACATGTTTAAGCTTTGGCTTTAGTTCCCTCGTTCGTAAGACGTTCATATCTCAGTGATTTCGGTTAATCGAAATCAAGTTCTAAGCGCCCCACGGTTTTTGGTCCATCAGCAAAGCATTAATTTTTCTTTAATAACCTTATTTCGATGAGAAATTGAAACAGTCTCCATTTTCGATCGTGAGAATAAAGGTCTTGAAATTGACAATAACGACAAATGAAATGAAAACAATACACAGCAACATTGCTCGTTCCATGATCAAGCCATGCGCTTGGAATGGTTTTGCAAACCATTGAAGCAATTTATTCATCCGTACGATTGGTAAACCAATCGTATGGATTAATTAATATTTTCATCCGTTCCAATAGCTTACCAGTCTGTTCGACATTGTGCGTTTTATTCATCCATTCGAACGGCTAAGCAAACCATTGAAACTGTTCAAATAATAATTAATTAACCTGTTTGAACGGTTTGCCCGTCCGTTCGAAATTTTTATTCATCCGTTTGAATGGCTGACAAAACTGTTCAAATAATTTATTCACCCGTTTGAACGGTTAGGCAAACTGATTGCTTGTTAGCCGTTCTACCGTTCTACATCTGTGCATTTTTGCCATTCAAATGGTTTTCCGTTTGTGTCCGTTTTGCCTTTCACGGTCACAATTTGCAATTTTATGGCAATTAAACAGCTCCAACAGCCAGGGTAAGTTCAAATATATTATAAGTTTCAAATATGTTGCGGCGACATGTATTTGGCAAGATCTCTAGCATAGTTTGTGATATTTTATATGGTTTTGTGAATTTCACAGGATTTACCTGAAATTCATGGCTCTCCGACCACACGAAAACATCAGAAACCATGTATCAGTAACCTTCCTCAAAAGTAATAACTAGCCAGAAACAATTTGTCTTATTACTGAAATAACCCTACTCTATAATAATTAGCCATGGATAATGACTTTTTCATGCATTTAATTTTGGAAAGTATTCAAAGAATTTATCAAAAGAATCATGGCTGATAAATATTCGATACCCCCACTTAAAAATTGCAAAATAAATTATTAATTTATTTACCTTTAATGCTGCTCCTTTAAGAGTGCTTTCATGATTAACTGACGATAGCTTTCCACAACTTAACTATTGAACAACAGCTGTGTGAAGAAATGATGGTGAAGGTCCACTTTGCATAATTGACACAACCTTCAGCTCAGCAGCCAAGCAGCAATCCCTTTGATCTAATACCAGTCACCTGAAACTCTGCTACAAAGTTTTTTATGACTCACAAGTATTTAATTAAAAGCACAAAAAGGCATACCTGTGAAGCACTCTCTTTGCTCCCCATTGTCTATTGTCAGTTCTCCAATGGATACAATTTTAACATGGTCATCTACACCTCGTAGCTGATTTCATCGAGGCTGTTTAATATCTTTCCATATGTGCCTCTGCCAGATATTCATTCTGACTAGAATGAATAACATGTTGTTGAGCAACCCATGGAGGATACCCTTGATGCTTTCCTTGGTCTCAGGCTGAGTAACCTGTAGAGCTGGATCTATTATGCAAACTTCTCTTCCTTCATCCGCACAATTTGAATTTTGTTGCTTTCCATCATTTGATACATTGCTCACCCAAACATTGTAGCACACATCTGCATGTTTTTTGATAATTGCAATTTACAGGAAAAATGAAACAATATGTGGGTCATTCCACATAATTGTTGTCAGGGATGATATCAACTGTAGGTAACACTGAATCTTTACTTGCTGAGTCTTTTCTGAACACCTGTTCCTCATCATTTTTTTTTTGTTTTGTCATCGCTTCAACTAGGCTGATCTTCCCACTCATTGTCACTTTCATAAGAAAATGATAACTCAGAGAACAAAAAGTCACTTTACTTGCAAAAAAATTGAACTAGTAGTACAATTGTGCATTTTTCAAAACCTTTTTTGTACGAGGTAAATTCATCACCCAAATCTGGTCAGGGAAAAGTAGAATAAACTCTAAACCTTCATGGGTTCTTTTGTGATGAGCAAGTTTTGTTAGAGCTTTCTTGAGAATCACATCACTAGTAGCTGTCAACTTTTCATTCACAGGTAACATTTTCCCTTGGCATCGCTTCAGGTTAAAGGTCAAGCTTTTGAACAAGCAAGCAAAATATGGTAATGAATATTGGTACATCTTTGTAGGTATGATCAACTTCACAAAAGAAATGTCCGAAGACAAGCTTAGCCCTTTACATCCTCACACCAGTATGCTTAATCTCCATTCACACTGTTCAAGATAATTTGTTTAACAATCAAGAACTTCCTTATTTAGGGATCATTTCCTTTATTCTTGTGACCTTAATGTAGGATTCAGGTGTGATATTTTAAGGAGAAATTACATGTAGTTGCTGGTCACTTTTAGGGGCTGTAAGCAAAAGACTGGATGAAGTTGAGAGGCGCTTGCTTAATATTACACCATGCAACTGCATTTCAAGAACACCAAGAAGCATTGTGAAGGATTTTCCTTATTGGAAAGCTTCTGAATTCCAGTCGTTTTTGTTTTTTGTGTCATCCCATGTCTGTGGAATATTTTGCTTGATGAATATTTTCCTTGATGAATATTTTCAGCATTTTATTCTTCTTGTGGAAGCAATCTGGCTATTAGATCAGATTTCAGTTTCACCTGAGTGCTTACAAAAAGCATACAACTTGTTACGGCACTTCTTTCATTTTGCAAGAAACACAGTTCCTGTGGCTTCTTGACAGTTGTGTTCTACTGATTTAAAATCTTCTTTCTTGGAATGGTTTTTGAACATATATTAAATTTAGTGCTTTAAGTGTTTCACTTTTAAAGGAGCTGTGTAGAGATTTCAATATTGTAGACTTGCAGGCCAGATTGTCTGTAATTAAGTTTTAAAGGTATACACAAAGTATACTTTATTTTCTATGGCAACTTTTTTGCAAATTCCAAGGGTTTAGGAAAGTATACTTGAAGTATACTTTTCCCATTTAAGTACAAATAAAGTACATTTATTACAATTTGCTTAATAAACTTCATTTACACTTTTTTTGTTGAAGTCTAAATTATGTATACTTCAAATGTACTTCGTTTCTGGAAAGTACAGAAAAAGTATACTTGAAGTATACTTAAAGTATACTGAAATTGTACAAGGGACTGCACGTATCAGAAAGTGACAAGGCAAGTAAAATGAACTGTAAGTTAGTTCACCGTCTGTATGTTTTCAATGCATAAGAGAAGAAATATTCAGAGCACTTTAAATGTACCTCAACTCTTACGTGTTCACTCTTCATTATTCTTTGAATGTGTACAACTGTTTTAATACTGTAACTCACTACAAGCAACAGAAATAAAAACTCAGTATGGATGTCATGTTATTTCTTAACTGAATAAATACATTCTGATTGATGATGTCCCTTTAAATCTCAAGTCGTCACAAAGAACCCAAGAATGAGAAGGAGCTGCTACATCAGAGGCAATCTTATCATAATTCACTAATGCTATGACTTCTTTCAATCAGCTTTTTTTCTTCACACAATAACATACATTTCACATAATTGCCATCATTGTTGGCTATGTTGGCACCTACCTTTGGTGTTTGTTACACCAGATCTCCTGGTTCAGTACTGTTATCATTCCAGCTAGACTGTTAGGATTGTGATCTTTGAGGTGATGATATTTTAAAGATTCATTCTAAGACTCAATGCCATTATTGGTGATGATATAGACCATAAACCTGTCTTGTCTATATGCCCACATTCATCGCCTAAATAGCAAAGATCACATGTTGGTATCTCAGATCATTATGTTATTGTAATTAATTAAAGCACTTCCTTAACCCTAAATAAAAAATTAAAAATTAAGTAGTTCAGAGTTTCCTGTATAAGAAATATATGCAAAGTAATAATGTTATAAGCTGGAGAAAATGGTCAGAACTGAGAAATTAGGAATTATGACATTTCTCTTCCTTTCCCTATTCTTAGTTGATGCATTTCATTCTAAAATTCTTTAATAAAACAGTGATGTCTCACATGTTACTATCAGCAGTGCTAAGCCATGTAAACAGAGTGAAATAATCATTACCTTTGCTTCTGCCAACCATGTTTTATCAAACCAGTTCTTCAGCTTTGGATTTGCCATCCAGAGGCTTTTGTCCTGTAGGGAAGTCACATTTTTCTAAAATTAATCCTTTGATGTTGATTTGGCAACAGCTCAAACCAAAGTCAAAACCTTTATTTTTAGTCTTCCCCAGTCACCTTTCCCACCACCAGTGCTAACAGAGAAAGTCACAGATGTGTGGGGTCCATTTGTAGCACACCACATTTGTGAAAGCATACAAAGGTGCCATTTATTAGGACTTGTGTTAGTTGTTTAGAGTCTTTATAAGAAGTGTAAAAATAATGCATCTACAATGCAAATCTACAGCACCAAACAGGTGCATTGATTAAGCAACCTCCAAATGACTGCTGTTGTTTTCAGAAGTTAGCGCATTTTCAATTGTTATTATTAATTCCCTACCTGTGAATGTTTGCTTGATTGTGTTTGTCTGTATTTTCTCAAGACAAAAGTCTGTCAAAAAATATCAGGGCTTCCAAGTGTCATTTTCATAATTAGAGATTGCTAACAGTCCTCATATTGCAGCTGTTGTTTCACTTTGAATAATGAAAGAGCCCATCCCTCCACAGTTCACATTGGTTTTAACAACCAGAAAGAATAGTGGCAAGTTGTATCTCACAGTCTTTTAAATAGCATCCAGAAGTGTAATCTCATTTCCAAATTGATTTAACAGCTACTTCTGTTTTTTTGTTGTGCAACCAACACAGTTTCAGCTTTTGTTGTTTCATCACTTCCTCTTCTTTGGTTTTGCTGGTCAACTCTGGACCACATCTTCATAGATGCCTGGGATGTGTGGGTCTGTTGGCTAGAAGTGCCTATTTGTTGGTAGTTGTGGTGGATTTTGGCCTGCATAATTTTATCTCTTTTGACAAACTGCTTACAGTGTCTTTCATCTCTTGCATTCTGTTGATAAGCTGTTTGTCAATAGCCTGGAGAATACCACCAAGATAAATGTTTGATACAAGAGAAAGTTAATGCAATTCCATGCTACAATCAACATCAAAATGAGTTGAAACTTATTTGAAGAGTTCTATTTGTAGAATAACACTCCTGTCTCTACCACACTCTAAATCATTGACAAGAACCTCGCTTCCCTCATTCAAAGTTGCCTGTATCTAGCTAAAGGTTCATGGAAACGCTATATAACATTGTTTTGGGGAGTAGGTGAATAGGTTAACTAACAAGGGCAAAAGAGATAAAATTGAAGGAATAGGGGGTTAAAAAGGTCAATATGTCAACAATTTTGTCACCAATAATAGGTTTACTGAAAACAAAGCATTAAAGGTTGAAACCCAATTCAGATTCCCACAACTAGATTTTGCTCGATGTTTGTGTTATTTAAGTTACATTTAACTAATGAAGGCCTTTTGCCAGCCATCATTACAAAAGCCATGTGTGTTAGAATAAAAATTTAAAAACATATTCATTAAAAAGAACAAACCTCTTCAATGATATGATCCATCCTGAGTTGCTCAGTGTCATTCCTGGTCTACACAGTAAGAAAAGTTAAATAGATCGATAACTGTACAACCTTGTTGAAAATAAAAATTCTTTGTGTTTAACATGTGCTGTTAACAAGATGGAAAATGTAAAAAAAATTGTCCTTACTGAAATATCAAAATATCTGCATTGTGAAGTTGAGCAGATTTTTTCTTTTTCATGTCTTGAATGCCATTTTGTACTTATTAGTGAGTGTTTTGGTATCTCTCTTAAGTGCTAAGTTATTTGAATAACAGTACATAAGTGTCAAGTAATTGAGTATTAATTCTGAGAGTCTATGAACACCTCTGCACTGCAGTTAATTCTAACATGGACGAACTCCCAGCATCTCGCTTCGTGGATGCAGCAGAAGAAGATCCATATTGGATCTATCCATTCATAGTAATCAAATGTGCTTTTTCAATGTTGACTGGCTCTTCAACAGAAAACTTAATGCAAGTGCTACATGTAAAATCAATGCTAGCCAGCTTTGCTCAAGGTTTTTCTAAGAGTAACAGAGCTACAGTTAAGCAAGCCATGAGGAAGGCTCATCATGTGAACTATACATTTGTTTGGAAGAGAACCCTACAACAACTTAATCATGAGTTTCAAGTTCTCGATAAGTTGGATGAAGTTTTGAACCCCTTGAAAAGTAGTTCCTTAAAGAAAGCAAAATGTGCCCTGAAAGAAGGTACCGCTTTAGTATTGAAAAAGAAGAAAGGTCATAATTCTAACTGATAAGTGCAGGTTTGGTTGGCTTACAGTCAACAAATATCTATCTGACAAGCTCTGATGATGAAAAGAAAATGTTTCAAGCAGAGAGGAGAGCAGAGAGGAAAGTGGTTAAGGATAAGCATCGCCGGCAGCAACAAGCTAGTTCTTCTTGAGGACCATCCAGTTACCAGTCAAGTACTTCAGTCCCTCCAGGTTCTTCCAATTTGTTGGCAGATTATTGCCTAGTGTGTAGAGATTTCAGCAAGTTCCACAGTTTAGGTCTCTGTTTCCAGATGAGTGTCATATTCATCTCTTTTTTCATTTGGATCTTTATCCACATCTTTACTAGTTTTTTCCTTCAAATGTACAGCATTTACCATACAGGCCATATTCCAGTAATCTCCCAGGATTTCTAATATCTTGCAGCTGTTTTGATTATTCAAGTTAGAGCAGAATAGCATGATGGAAGCCAAGAATTGTTGGCATAATGTTGTAATTGAAGTCTTGCCCAAGTGCAAAGGGAACTGTATTTACTCACCAATAAGCCACCCCAAACTTTTGATTAATTTTGGTGGAAATAACGATCAGTGAATTGCAATCAGAAATAATGAGTGTAGCTGTCCCGATGAAACCCATTGACAAAGAAAAATTGTAATAGTTTTATTAACCAGGCTTAGAATAAAATTAACAAGAGGCCACAGTTTGCTATACAGAGTAATAAGTAACAGAACAATAAGAAACAGGTAATGGCACTGAGTGGTTCTGTGACTATTGGAAGCTTTCAGAGCAATCTCACCAAGTTAGACTCACAACATCTCCAGATTTACCTTAGTTCTTTCAATCATTTCTAACCTTTAACATGTAAATTTTCACCTTACACTTTTTTAGAGTTTATTTCAGGTATCATTGAACAAAAAATTATTGGAGTTTTAAGTGCAAATCCAACACTGTCTCAAGTACTTTTAATTGTTTGTGAACTGATGTGAAAACGAGCTGTGTGAACAGTTTAAGGTTACTGCCTGATTGATTTGATTCAATAATCTTATGTCAACATTAGCATCTGGATTGATGGGGATAAGCTTTTAAACGCTTCAACAGACCACAATAATCATGTGCTTTTCAAAATTCAAGAAATTGACTGCTGCATATCTATATTTCACTCAGTTAAAAAAAGGGAAACTTGCAGTCTTAATATGGTCCAAGATGTATTGTTTGGAGGCAGGAGACTTGGTGCCAAAACACTTTTACCTGCCTTTAGGCTGCACCCCCAACTTTTATCCTATTTCTATGTAGCCTCGCTGAGGATAAAAACGGTAATATAAGTATACTTGTATGACATAATAATAGCTAAATGACAAATTTGGATTTATTTAACACTGAGACAAAAAAAGGTGTTTATTTATATCACAAGGTAACAAACCAAATATTTAACAATTATAAGCAAAAAGTGAGGGGAATATTCTTGAATAATTCCCTCTGCTTTATCACGGGTATTATATGACAACACTCTCAGAGCCTGAGGATAATTATTCTTTACTTATATTGTTATTGGTCAGCTGATTATCAGACTAGCTGCATTTTGCTAAAAAAATTTCCACTACACAAACATTTAAAAATTGGCAAATTTTTTAAATTAGTGGTATCACCTCAATTGCTGGTCAACTGTGGCGGAATAACTAAATTTGTGACTCCAATTCAAATTTGGAGACAACTCTTTGGCATATGGTCACTACTTTTTGTTACATTTTGTGTGCTATTGACAAGTCAGTTTCACAGATAAAAAAAGACAAGTGCACATAAATCATTCCTCAAACTGACCCCAGTTCATAATACTCTGGTCCAACCCAAACAACGAACATTGATTAATTTGACAATTAATCAAATCTTTTTTCAAACAGGTTTGTTAAAAAAATTAATTTTAACATGCAAGTTTAACATGCAAGTACATCATAGAATAATGAAAGACACTGCACTATCACTTAGATAAAACCAAAATTGAAAACAAATCTTGCCTCATTTTTTTTTACACAAGGTATGCAGCAAGTGAGACTAGAATTTCTGTCAGAGATCAATGACATCTATCACTTTCACAAATAGTACCAAGTGTAAATCACTAGTCTTCCTCTCCAACAAATCACATGTCAACAAAAATTTTTTGGCTAGCACAGCTTGAATGCATTTTACAAAAATCCCGCCAGACTATCTAATGCACATCAGCGTAGACAGTTTTCTTTCAGCAATTTCTTACATGCCTTTCATTAATTTCTTACAAGCTTTGCTTTGAGAATGAATGAAGAAAAGCTTACATTCCCAAAATGTTAACAGCACCATGTTTTTGGCTTATTTGATTTGTTTCCAGTAGTCTCTTAATAGTCACACTGGTACTAAACAGTCATTAATAATCAGTCACAAGTCACACAAGCTCTTTTTGTGTGAGTGGATGTAATTGGTTTGTATCCCACAATGAACAGCATGAGGGTGATTGTGATTGACCGTCAAAACCTTTTCAAAGTTTTTTTTGTGCTTATCCACAACAAGGTTTTTTGTTCCCTGAATCTTCATTCCTACCCCTTCCCACTTCTCCCCCAAGCAGACTCCTAAAACCCCAGCTACTTTTTCATTTCCCTGCCTGCCTGAAAAATTATTGACAGCCCTGCAGGGGGTAATGCTTAAATCACCAATTGAACTCAACCCAGCAGAAATGCCAGCTATATGTGACGAGTTAACAACCGTGTAAAAATAAGAATTAAAAATGTTAAATTAAAATATATTTATTAAATTGCCATTATCCTAAATTTAAAT